TACAGTACGCAGCTTCTACGCCTCATGATGCAGGCTCTCGATTCATGCGTGCTCTCCTATTCTTCACACTTCAAGGTCGACTCACCATGGTGCTAATCCACTCACGGGCGTGGACAGTACCGTGCCAGAGCTTCATCGAGGTCAGTCTTGCTCTATTTGAACCGCGAATTCGCAACTCACAATGACAGGCTTGTCGCCTTTTTTGCCCTCGCCGCCCCAGAGGTGGAAGGCATGAATGTCACGCCCCTCATACGAAGGCCCCAGCGTGAACTTTTCGCTGTTCTCGGGGAACGCCGCAACCAGGTCATCCCAGTACTTCAGGTGGTCGGCGTACGAGTGGTAGCTGTCGAACCACGACAGGTCGGGCAGCTCGCCGCGGCGGTCGACAGAACGGCGGTACGTGACAGGGTGGGCAGCCTCGTCACGGATCTGCTTCCCCATGTCGCGCGTCAGGAGGGTGTAGTCGAAGCCCATGCCCTCGAACGAGCGGACCTCGTTCGGCGGGATGGCGACCTCGAGGGCGTCAGCCGAGTGGACTGAGTGGAACGACGCTAGACGGGCTTCGATGTCTTCAATGTCGCGCGGCGACTCGGCGCGGATACGGTAGATGTGGTAGTTGTCATAGGTGACCTTCGCTTCGGGAATAGTGGCACGGGCTACGGGGTCCGAGGCGGAGGCGGCGGCGGCCAGGCCCGAGAGCGCGAGGGCTGCTCCGAGGAACTTCATCATGACGCGGCGGAGGAACAATCACCAGAAGAAAGCTAACGAGGGATAGCGAGGTGGACAAAAAAGCGATCTATCGAGGACGAGGGGAGGGGTATTTGCGCTTTTCTATCTCCCCCGAACTGGCGGTGCCATACTATCTATCTTTCCGTGCACAACCGCCGATGCAACCTGAGCCGGATCGACATCATGACGGTGATCCAGCAGCAGGGCGGAAGGCGCAACATGGCAGGAGATTCGCAGCTTGCGGAGAGAAACATACTGCAGGGTCAGCACTGGTGCAGGACCAGGGGCATCGACGGAGCACATCTCGCTGAGGCACCTAACTAAAGGAAGGTCGTGCAAGCAAGGTGGGTGAGGGGTATCGCCGGATCGTCGTGCTGGGCCAAGGGGGCAAGCAAATCTTCATCGCCCCCCCCCCGGCCCCGGACAGTATCGTCTTCGCAAGAGGAAGCTGGCTAACAACTGGAAGATGCAGATGGCCGGCCGATGACGACGTCGTAGTCTCCGCGGCGGGGGTTGCAGCGCGTCGCAGAGCTAAGAAGTCGATGTAATCCCAAAGCAGCAGGTGGCCGCACCGTTGACGGCTTGGCCCAGACCCCGGTCCCCGCATCATCGCCGTTGAGCAATACCACTGGATCTGCAGAGGTGGAGAGTCTGTGAGCCTGGTACGGTGCAGTTCAAGAAGAGGAAACAAGGATCGCACGACAGGAGGGCACCCACTCGTGCTCGTGTCCTCCCTCTGTATGGCGCGATAAGGGTGTGACAATTCGACGGAATGATC